TGAATATTTAAGACAAAAGGTAGCACTTTACAGACTGGAGAATTTGTGCAAAAATGCTATACAAAGGAAATGTATTAAAAAGCACTAAAAATGTAAGCAAGTAAAGATGAGGAAGCAAGAATTACTTCAGGGATGACTCACACACACCTCCTTCCCCACCTGACTCTTTTAGATTCACACTAGCTGGGAATGATCAACTCTTAAGTCTTCTCTATTTCTACTGGAAAGGCAGACCCACTCTTATCCTACCAATCTCTCTGACCTTCATTTTCATTTGTATAACTGAAATAGCAATCCTAACTGCCCACTTCATAAGGCTGATGTGATGTTCAAATTAGAAAAGATGTGAAATCACTTTGTAAACTTTATAAGCCCATGCACTGACAAAAAGTTATTACATAGCCATTACCGGACCATTTCCCAAGCTCGCTCTCTCCTTAAGTCTTTTCTCCCTTCTTGCTTTTTCCCATTTTTTACTTTGATACCAGGTCAAAAGCACAATAAATTAAATGTTCTAAAGAGCTAGGGCTACCTATGGAAAGGAGACAATCTGGGCATATATTGGAAAACCTAAGCTTTAATTAAGGATACTTGGAAAGTTAGATACTCATTTGGAGCAGAGCCAGAAATTCAGACTAGTCTTTAAGATTCACCTTCATGCATTTCTTGGGGGAAAAGCCACTGTAGCTGGGCCCAGATGCCTAGTATCAGGCCTTTATTGAGGCACTTATATTTGGGGAATAGGGCTCAATTCTCATGCCTTTGTCCAGAGGAAACACTCTACAAGCCAAAAAGAGATCACAGGCTGAGATGTCAGAAAAGCTAAAAAGGATATACTGTGGCAGCATCCCTGTAACTATTGGTGTGTCCTCTGGTCATAGCCAAGCATTCTTAATGTGGGCCTCCCTACAGGGCACTGAAACACTTCATGCATAAGCTTTCTGGTATCCATCAGCTCCCTAAACGTGTAAACACATATGTGGGCAACAGAATTGCTGCTCTGAATTCCACATTGCAGCTGGGCTAGACAAGAGTTCCCAAGCACCCCCCAAAACTAGGTTAGCTGCATAAGCAAATGCATTAGGTTTTGATAGATGGACGATATCTTCATGAAAAAGAAAAGTGCTGTGCAGTTTATTCCCAACAAGCTATCTTCACTCTTTTCCTACCAAAGCCAATAGTTTGAGTGGAAAACTTTATTTTTCAAGAAGTGCAGACTTCCTGAACTAAAGTTAGGCAATTGAAGTAGTTCAGTTAATCCTAAGAAGAGGGATTTGACCTGTGAATTTCCCAATAAATAAAGCTAGGCTATGTATGTCTGCTGAGGACATATCTTCTAGGTATTTGCAGGCAAGTAAGATTTATTTCTTATCTCCTCCCCAAAAGCATCTCCCTAACCCTTGCTGGGCTCCAGCCGTAGTCCAGTCACAGTGCTGCCTCAATCTTTAAAAGATTTGTTCTGGAGCTCAGGGGCACTCAATGATGAAGTTGCTAGGATACTAATAAGAGGGCATTTTCATTAATTCCTTTGTGGAAAGCTAGAAGCCAAAATCCCTGAGCTGGGATTTTTGTCCCTCCTAGTAGCAAAAGCTTATTTTCTACTTAAAGGAATGAGAAAAGCAAATGGAATAATGAGCTTTACTAGAAAAAGTTGGCACAAATCAGGGAAGAAATGGCCTCTTTGTTTCCTTACTTCTCATCCATTTTGAGTGGGGAGGAAGAGGTTGATAGCAAAGGAGGGAGGAAAGGAAGAATGGGAAAGATTAAGAGAGAAGTTATTGAGGAGGCTAGGGATTTAGCTCAGTAGGCATAAGCGCCTGCCTGGCAAGCAGAAGGTTGTGAGTTTGATCCCCGGTTTAAAAAAAAAAAGTGAGGGGAAGAAAAAACATCAAATGCATAGAGTTCCTCTCCTCTGGATTGCATTTATCATTTTCTCTCACTTTCTCTTTTTGCATTCCCTCACAGATCTAGGAGAAACACAAAATCTTTAGGGTTCACACAACTAAAAATTCCTGTCTTCATCTTTTGTTCTCTATTTCTCAAACTCTCTTCTGGCTGCTCTGAAATGACTTGCCATCTGGCTATGCCTACCTCTTACTTGCCTAGGTAAGTAAATGCAGAAGATGTGTACTACCACAGCTAAATTAGTGATGGGATGGCTCACTGCAACTACTCCTTTAGGTGGAGGGGGCATCAGACAGTAAGAGGAGGACTGTCATGGGTGGCACCCATCCATCTTAGCACCATTTAAATTCTCATAAACCCTAGCATAAGAGGCCATTTCGAACTGTGGAAATCATTGCTGTCTTTCCTCATCCTATCACCATCAACATCAACAGTGAGCACACATAGCCACAAACAGTATGTTTATACTGCCATCATCACGTACATAAACATTTCCAAAAACTTTCTGCCTAGGGTTTGCCAGGGACCCAGAAGGGAAGAGGTTTCATGATGCAATTTAGTCATAAATCTAAGTAAAAGACTAGCCTCTTTAGTCCCGTTGTCCTTAGCAAAAATGAAAAAAAAAAAAAAAAAGACAAAAAGCATTTCAGTGGTGCTGTCCCCATTTTCTTTACTACACAGCTAGGCTGAAAATTCCTTAGGTAAGACTCTAAATACCAGCAACCAGATATCCAGTTGCTTCTTCCATCATTAGTTGCTTATCATTTCATTTTCTTTTTCACTTTTTTTCAATTTAACCCCTTCCAACCTCAATTCTAGTGGGTGTTCCAAGTCTCAGAATGCAAGAACTTGGAGTTACCTAATTGAATCATTTGAAAATGCCAGTGTTCACAGGAAACTCAAACCCATTGAGGGTAAAAAAAAATGCACCAAGTCAAACAGCCTGTGTGTGGACAAAAATCAGATCTGCAGCTGCCTGGCATTGAACTCTCACTGACACTGTCTCAAAGCAAGGTGACAAGGCAAGGTATATGATATAATGCTTAATTTAAATAACATCTCTAGTGAGGCACTGCAGGTTGAATCCAGGGCTTTCACACTGAATCCAGTCCTTTTTTATTTTGTATTTTGGAGCATCTTACTAAATTTTAAAGTCTCTGCCTCCCAAGTGCTGAGATTATAGATATGTGCCACTGCAGTTCATGATATTCTCCTTACGAAAAAACAAGTTCTTGGTTCCATCCAGGACCAAAGCCTAATTATGAAGCATCAATGCCAAAAAACTTCCCAGATCATGCTTATGCCACGGTATCAAGCAAGAAAAACAAAAACACCTCAGCTTTTCACCCACACAGTCAGAAGCCAGTTTTGAGACTAAAAACCTGGACTGATACTATTAAATAATACTCTGGATCCTGTGGTCAGGACAATTTCAAACATTTCCCCAAACTTTACAGCCCTTTGCTCTTCATAATAATTTCCAAATAGATTGAACATCAGGACATAGAACTTGACAGCATAACGCCAACAGATATGTACATCCCACACAAGCGGCCGCCCACGTGAGTGCAGGAGGAGCATGCGTGTGTATGCGTATGTGCCCTGATTCATTGTTACATGAACCAAAAATGGCACTATTTCAAGACAGGTAAGCAATAGAATGAGGAAGATTTGCCTACATCAGCAAAGAAGAAAAACAGTATTAAGTATCCTGGAATCAGAGTTTAATTTCCTAGCTTTATCCAGCTTTCTCAGCAGAAACAAATATAAAAATAATAACAATAATAGCAAATATCACCACTACCACATGATAGGCAGACATGTCTCAAATTGGAATATTGCTTCCAGCTCAAATGCTTCCTAAAATCTCATCCCATTCTGTCTAGACTTCTTTTTCTTGGTGCTCAAAACTCTTAACACATTAGATACATCCAGTTATGAAGATGTTTCAATTAGAGAGACCTCTGTTCTTAAAGCAACAAAGATGCTAACACCACCACTTTCTCACATTACTATCAAGCACTTTAAAAATGTAGTTCAAGAATATCATTACAAATGAGATTACTACCAAAGGAGCCATATCCAACACAATTATTCCCAAGCTAAGTAAAAATCTGATGAGACACAGAAAAATCCTCAAACTCAAATCCAAGGGTACAATCTCTGGGAAACAGAGTTCAAGGTCTTGTCAAAGTCCTCTCTTGCCAATTGAAAAGATCAAAGAACACTTTTATGTTCCATTCCACGATTCCAAAGAAAATGACATTTAATGCTGTAAAAAAAATGTTTCAAAGGTGGCTTCTTTCCACATTGGAAACTGTAAACCCTGGATAGCAAATAGAGATTTTTCAAAGGACAGTCATCAACTGCCATCTCAAGGCACCCCACTGCATGGCTTCCAACTTCTTACCTCTCATTAGAGAAAAAAATCACTTCTCCTAAATCTATTTATTACATTGATATCTTCCCCGTAAACACCTATTACAAGATTGTCTTTCTTATACACCAAAATTTCATCATGCTTTCACAAACTCCTTCCTTCACCCCCACCCCAAACAAACCCAAATGCACTCTTGATGGCAAAAGAGTAATTTTGACTAACATTCACTAATGGAATTTAAAGATAGTTTTTGAGAAAACGTATTGACTAGACACCAAAGATAAGTCACTGTTAAGGAACGCAGAGCTTGCTCTACGAACGTCACATAGATGGAGAATGCATACAGGCATGCACACTTAAATAAAAAAAATATTTCTTTATCAACAATTTCACTCAAGCAATTATTCGCAAGGCATTCTTAAAACACAAGACATGACAAAAGATTTAGGGAGAGATAATATACCAACGTCATACACATCACAGCGAGGCCATGTTGAAGCTCAAAACGTATCCCCCCCTGAGTAAAGCTTTCTCTTTCTCTCCCTCTCTTTTCTAGTCTCCGTTTCAGTCTCGGTCTCGGTCTCGGTCTCGGTCTTGGTCTCTCTCTCTCTCTCTCTCTCTCTCTCTCTCTCTCTCTCTACCTCCCTCCCGACCCGCGATGGCTCTCGGGATAAAATCAAAACGGGAGTTCGCGACAGCTCAGGTGGCTGTACTCCATTCAGCGCGTTCCCAGGAAAAACATGAGTATGACATTGACAAGCAGGAGGACTACAATCACTGCAAAAACGACTACAGTTTGCACATCCAGGGTCATAGTGCAATGCAGAACACTGTAGTGTTCCAGGTGGGGGGCTGGCAGATTGGGAGATGTCAGTCTCTGTTCTGTCAGACTGTCCATACAGCCACCATGCTAAAAAGGAGAAGAGGAAGTCGGGTGGTTAGGGAAGGGCTGGGTTTGGCGCCCGAGTGCCTCGGGGAGGGGAGGGAAGGGGGATGGGGACAGAGGCACTTGCTTCCACCCTCCCTCAGGATTGGGCTGATCTTTTCTTGCCTATCTGTGAAATCTTAGCTTGTGCTGAAGACGGCAGTTTAGCATTCTCTCTCGGGCGCCACGGAAAAAGCAAAATCCTGGTTTCCCAAGGGTAAGGCGGGAGGAACCTGTCAGAGGTTCTCCAGCGCCAGCAGAATCTGTCTGGCCGGGCGTACGTCCGCCTGTCTGGCTAGCGGTCAGTCTCAGTCTCCTCTATTCTCTCTAGCTTCCTCGCTTTCCTACGTTGCTCTCTTCGCTGGGCTCCAAGCTGCTAGGCACGCTTTCCAGCCCTTCCTTGCAGGTCTTCTCCCGCTTCTCTCCCCACCCCCACCTCACCCCGGAGGCTGTCTTTATTCTGAGAGAGACCGTGGGCGCTTGCGTGAAGCGCAGCCGGCATCACGGACAGACCCACTGGCCAATAGCAGCTGGAGGAAGGGAGCGTTTACTGCTAGTGGTGGGACTTGCGCTGACGTGCTTGCCGCAGCAGCCAATCCGAGGGCCCAACGCCCCAGGAGCTGGCTTGCTCCATGTCTACCTAAAGAATGGGAGCCACCAGTAGCTAGGTTTTGGTGTGGGGGAAGGGAGCTTGTGCGGATGGGTTGAAAAGGATGTAGGCAGATTGCGGGGCGAAGGAAGAATTTGAGAAAGGGAGGTAGCCAACCAGAGGGGAGAGAAAGAAACTGGCCTGCAGAAGGGATGAAGGAGGGTCCAAAAAGAAACCACGGGAAAGAGAAAGAAAGATGGGAAGGAGGAGGAACTAAGGGATATGAGGAAGGGGAGGGATGGGAAAACAGGATAGGTAGATAGAGCAGAGGCATGTACTTGGTAACCACTTCGGAGCCTGGGCCAAGGAGGAAACAAAAGTGCCTTTTGCCACTGCCCACATAAATACACGCAATTCAGTTAGCTGTTAAAAAAAGTTTACAAACTGGTGTTGTGGACAACACCATAGGAACATACTACAAAATACCTGAAATCCATTTTTTTTTTTTAAACCTTCCCCGGCCAGGTCCTAGGTCCTTTTCTAATCAGTTTCTTTACACTGTGACAGCTAACTTGCACTATTTCAGCATGATGGATACTAAGAAGGGAAGCTAGCTAGAGTTAAGTATTCAGCATGGGTAAAAATCTTTTTTATTTTAATTTTTTATTTTATTGGTACATGTTTGTAATTCATGCTGTTTATAATCATCTTAGAGAGAGGTTACATGTATATACCACAGCTTTTTTGTTTTGTTTTGTTTTGTTTGTAATCCCCTTCCTCTTCCCTCTCCATCTCCCCACTTCTCGAATTCCCCTTTGCAATTTTTCATTCTTGTCGATATTATATTGATTTTAGGCCGTGTTATGACATATAATGTTTACAGTATTTGAGGTCATTAGGTTCCTATACATGGTATCTCTTTATTCTACTTACCTCCCCTCCCCTCCTCCTTATTTCTCATACTTCTTCCCTTAGACCACTTCACTATTGCAAGAGCTCTATCTGTTAGTCCCTTTCTATTCATCCTTCATTATTCTCTTTGTTTGTACCTTGCCTCATTCAAATGAGAGATATCATATAGTATTTAAATGTGTGTATCTGGTTGATTTTATTCAAGATTATATTTTTCAGTGTATCCATGTCTCAAATCTGTCATTTTTTATAACAAAATAGTATCCCATTATTGATAATACATTTTCTTCATCTAATCATCTGTGATAGGAATATAGACTTTTAAGAATATAGCTTTTATGAATTGTGCTTCTATAAACATTAGTGTACATGTTTCACTGTAGTATAATGTCTTAAATTCTTTGTGGAAGCAGAGGGATTCTGGGTTGTATGGAATTTCTAATTTCATGTCTGTGAAAAATCTCCATATTGCTTTTCATGATTGTTCTAGCTTACATTCCCACCAACAATGAAGGCCACAGCCACAGCAACATTTGTTATTGATTTCTTAATGATTGCCATACTTTCTGGAGAAAGACAGAATCTTAGTGTTGCTTTAATTTGAGTTTCTCTAATGAACACAGATGTTGAACATTTTTTCATATATTTGTAGACCACTTGTATTTCTTCTTCTGTGAAGTGTCTCTGGCCCATTTCTTGACTGGATCTTCCATTTCAGGTAGTTTAGGTTGTTTTGTTTTGTTGTTTAGTCTTATTTTGTTATGTTGTTCTTTGTATATTCTGGATATTAATCTTTCTTAGTGATAGCTGGAAAAAATCTTTTCCCATTATGTATGTTGTCTCTCTACTAATTTTTTTTACTGAACAGAAGATTTTTAGTCTAATTCCATTTGTTCATTCTTGCTGTTATTTTCAGTGCAACTGAGGTTGTTTAGAAAATCCTTTCCTACACCTGTGTCTTCAAGTATTTTACCTATTTTAGCTTCCAGTAGGTTTAATGTTTATATCTTTACTTCATTCTGATTTGAATTTAGCATATGGTGAGAGATAAGAGTCCAGTTTCAATCTTTTGTACACAATAACTAGCTTTCCTAGCACAGCTTGTTGAATAGGCTGTCTTTCCTCCAACATATGTTTTTGGTCCCTTTGTCAAAGACCAAAATATGTCAGGGGAAGTTTCTGTATTTTCAGTTTTATTCCATTGAACCATGTATTTGTTTTTGTGCCAGTACCTTTCTTTTTTATTATCACTATTACTTTGTAATATAGGTTGAAGTTAAATATTGCTATGTTTTCTGCTTTGCTTTTATTGCCCAAAGTTGGTTTTGTTATCCTGGGTCTTGTTTAGTACCAAATTAATTTTAGGGTTGATTTTTCAAGATCTGTAAAGTATGCTATTGATATTTTAATTGGGACTGCATTGAATCTATATAAAAGTTTTAGTAGTATGGCCATTTTGACGATATTAATTCTGCCTATCCAAGAGGAGGAGACATCATTCCATTTTCTGATGTCTTCTTCATCTCCTTTTTCAGAGTACTATAGTTTTGTTTGTAGATCTTTCACTTCCTTTATTAGGTGTTGTGGTTGACACATTGTATCAATTTGAGAAGTTTAACTGAGAGACTCAGCAAGGAGACAAGGTTCTTTGTACATATCCTCATCCTGTGCATGTGAGGACATGGATATTTTGTAAGTGCTATACCCACCTTGAAAGCGGGGGGGGGGGGGGGGGGGGGGGTGGGGGGTGGAGGGGGTGTCTTCATACAATATAAGGGAAGAAAAGAGACTTGCTCTCTCTCTCTTTTCATCTGGCTGCTACCTTGAAGTGTTGCCCCAGTGAAATGCCACCATCCTTGGAGCCAGCTGATTATGAACTGAAACCTCTAAAACTATAAGCTAAATAAACCTTTCCTTCCTTCATTTTGAGTATTGGATATTTTGTCCCAGAAACAAGAGACAAGTAAATGAACCAAGACAAAATTTGATTTCTGTGACTATGCCTGACCAAGTGATTCAAGAGCCTTTGGGAATGGCTTATGGGACGAGTTTGGATAGGTTTGGAGATTTCACTTGAAGGAGTAGCCCTGGAACAACTTAAGCTGTTCTGTATGGGAGATTCTGGTCAAAGCTCACAAAACCAGAAGGATGATAGAAATCTGGCCAGTAAAGCTCAGGCTTGGGAGGTTTCTGCTGGTAAGAAGGATTGCATTGGTTGTTGGAGTCCAGATGATGTGTGTTATGGCTTGGCAGAAAGTTTGTCTGCATTTTGCTAATGCCCAGAGACTTTGCCTGAGTCTAAGATAAAGGATAATGGCAGAAGGAATTTCAAAGCAATCGAATGTTGAGATGGTGGCATGACTATTGTTGGGGGCTTTTAGCAGATTTATGTTTTGAATTAAGAGCAAAGAGCCCAGCAAGATTATTTAATATGTTGTGAGTTTGGCAATAAGAAAACCTCCAGTAGAACTGTTAACTATAATGATAAAGCTGAGGCATCAATTGCTGAGAAGGAACAGATAAATAAAAAAGATGACCTAGGGGCATCCTAGGAAGCAGTGGATCTCCATGCTTTGCAACCTCAAAGCTGCAAAAATGAAACTTTGCTTGGAGGAGAAAGCATTAGAGAACCACATTCCAGAATGGCAGCATAGCCTCATGAGGTTCCACAATGGTGGCAGCATAGTGAATTTTTTCCTTACAATCAGGTTCAGAGTGTCCAGTGATCCAGGCCCTCAGTCCCTATAGCCAAGAGAGAGGAAAGCCTGGGTATTGCTCCAGCTAACCGCAGACCTCAGCATCATCCACATGGTGCTGGTTTTAGGTGCATACAAATGTAAGGGTTCTGAGATTAAAAAGGTTTCTGTTCCAATTTAAGAAGGCCTGGGAGGCCAGGCAGTGGGACCCTGAGAGGGCCGTGTGTGAGGTTGTAAGTGTGAAGCCAAAGTTGCAGTGGAGACCCCATAAGTTTGGAAAAGCCAGAAACATGAATCATCTAAGGAAACCTGCAATGAGGGAGTAAAGCCAATCCAAGAGAGAAGCCATGGTATTGGTATCCACCAGAAGTGCCATAAGGATGGAACCACACAAGCCCTTTGGAGCTCACAATTTGCCATATATTGTCCCAAATGTTGCACATGGACTTACAGGGCTTAATGTTTGCCCTGCTACATTTTGTACTTGCTTTTGTTCCAATCTTTTGTACTCTCCTGTTTGTCCCTTTTAGAATGGTAATGTCAACCTTGTGCCATTGTATATTGGAAGTGTTTAGCTTTGTTTTCATTTGTATAGGGCCTTGCAGCTAAGGTTTGCCTTACATTTTGAAGGAGACTTGACACTTAAACTGCATTGCTGAAACTGTTAAGACTTGGGCAACTCTTTCAGATGGACTAAATGCCTTTTGCATAAAGGGATGTGCATGAATATTTGGGGTTCAAGGAAAAAATTTAACGTTTCTAGTGTAATGTGATGTTACTAGACCTATTGCTGGTTATTAAGGATTGTTAAGCTGTGTTATAATGTTCAAGTTGCAAAAGTTTAAGAATAAGCATGCCTTTGTATCTGGAGGCTGGTTTAAAGAAATGTATCTGGTTGCCAAATTGACAAGGGGTGGACTGTTATGGTTGTTACATTGTGTCAATTTGAGAAGTTTAACTGAGAGACTCAGCAGGGAGTCAGTGTTCTTAATTTGTAAATATTCTCATCCATTGCAAAGGAGGGCAGAGAAACTTTGTGAGTGCTACACCCACCCTGAAGGTGGGGGAATGGCTTGCATACAACATAAGGGAGGAAAAGAGGCATTACTCTTTCTCTCCCTTCTGGTCTGGCTACTACCTTGAAGCATTGCCCCAGTGTAGAGTAGAGTCCATACTATGAACTATATGAGTTAATAAGACTGGCTTTGTATGGTCTAGAAATCTTTGAGTCAGA